TGTAAAAGGCTACGAGGTTACCTAGGACAAAAGAGTCATCTGAAAGCTTTCTCACAGGCTGTTGGAGAAATGGCATTTGGATCAAAATCTTACTTTAGAATCAATTAAAAAGCTGGAAACAGAGAAACAGACACTATGATCCAGCATATAAACCTTATCTCATACCTGAAACCTGATAAATATTTGTCTTTGAGGCATACGGTCCCAAAAATCCTCCCATATTTGTTGGAACTATAGATTCAGAGTGATACCAGTCAACTTTTAAGGAGTACGTGAGGACATATGTGCGCAAGAGCCAAATCCTAATCTACGTGGATCTGTAAGATTATGTTTTTTGAGCAAATTCAATTTCTGACTTTAATCCAACTGGAATACACGAGGACATCCATCAATATCCCTGAGCTGGAGGAATTAGCTAACATCCCCCAGAGCCAATGAGCAGAATGGATCGACTCTTACATGAATGGTTAAGTAGCAGTCGCCAATGTACAAGGACATAGAAACCTCAGGTCTACACATTTTTACAGTCGCAGACATGGAATAAGAAGTCTCTGTTTAGCACTTTTCATGATATATTACAGAACGTTAATTCATATCTGCGGGTATCTTAAAACTTTGAAAACACTCAGAATATTAAAGCCAGTAAATTTAGTTGCTACCGTTTTTTTCCAGTAGATGTCAGACTTGTAAGCCTTTTGATAACCCCTATAAAATCCTTTTTCGTGTTTTTAAAATAGAACATTAGTCAGCATTTAAAGAAGTGACACACTTTTTTCTCTCCGTCAAAAAGTCATGTGGTCCCACTTCCCTCCATTGACTCAGAGCGGAAGAGTGGTCTCTTCCTCAGACATCCTCTATCTTGCTTTAACCTCGGAAACCTGCTCCCACCCCCCGCTGTCAACAAAGGGGGTGGAAAAGAGCAATGTTGCCAGCCAGCATGACAAAAGGCAGGACAAGAGGCGGAAGTCAGGACAATGACACAGGACGAGGTTTGGTTAGTCCGGTGCTCTCAGCAGTATCTGATCTGCCGGAGGGACCACAATGAGGAGGAAGGGCCCAAAACATTAAGAAGAGGCAAACCTGAAATACCACTGCCTCCAAATGTATGCACACAGTGTGAAGTGGACTTTCCTGATAATATGATATAAACAGGTTAAGCCACAAACAGAATATCCCCTGATGAACACATTTTGTACGCGTAAAGGGAACAAAAAAAACAAATCCAGAGCTGAAAGTGAGAAATTTATCTATTTCACTATGACGAAAAACATCTTTTTTTTTTTTTTTTATGTTACAGATGCAGCCTGTTTCAAAAAGTTGGCATAGGTCAGAAATTGCTACTGTTTTGACCATCTGTTGAGCCTCTTTTTTACACAGAAAAAATGACTTTTCTACACAGCTAACCCGGATCTCAGTCGTTACTTCACTGTCCAAATGTTATCAACTTTATGTTAGGCAGAGCTTTTGAAAGATAAGGTCATGCTGTTGTAATAGCTGGGGAGCACATTTTGGCTTAAAACCATATCTTTCAGCAGCACCCTTTCCAAAAAAAATACGTATATCATTTAAAACGCTGACCACGGAGCGGGTTTCCATGGTTTCTACGTCTGAATCATGTCCGTTTCTAATGCAGGGCTGCCTAATGGCCTGGAGACCACTAGCAAATATTGATTTAGATCATATTTGTTCCTTGTTCATAAAGATGTGATCTGATTTTCTGAATCACTAGATGATATTATGAGCTGTGGAGGATTTTAAATTTACTCTGCTGAACTTTTAATTGAGGAGACTTGTTTTTAAATGGCTCCTCAGTTCATATTCTCATCCTTTACTAGTGTGACACTCTGACTCTCAAAGCTTCTCTTTTTTCATAGCCAAAACATGCTACTGACCATTTACCAATTAAAGTAATTAGCTGTGCATCTATTGTGTTTATACTTCATTACTGAGATCTTGGAACAAAGTGGAGACACAGAGAGTTTGTACAGTGCACACAAAAGCTTGTGATCTAATATCACACGCAAGCAGAAAATAAGAAATGTTTTATGTTGCGGCTTACTCAATAGCTAAATGGACTCATTTGTTTCTTACTGCACTTTGCTAATCTAATTTTTCTCCTTCATTAGGATAATTACCCAGACAGTCTGGGACATGAGAAGCTGAGACAAGACCCGCCGTAATTAAATTAGAAAAGAGTCTCTTTCACTCTGCTGAGGCTGCACGGCGGAGAGGAGAGGAGAGGCCACGCGGAAAGACGGATGGAGCGTGGAAAAGAGAGGAGTGATTTACAAGGGACCAAAGATGAAGAAGACAAGTAGAACTCCTCAGCTGGGCCGTTAAAGTTTACTGCACGTGAAGTGCTCCGTTTTTATTACCGAGGGATTTATTACTATGTGCGTTCCATTCGGGCAAGAAATTTCCTGGAAGATAAAAAAAAGGGACGGGTCCGGCTTGTGACCGAGCGGTTTTTATCCCTACCAGAACTCACTGTCAGTGGGCAAACTCCTCCACCAGGTGGTGGTGCAGGACAACCCTGGACACACACCCACAGGAGCGCAGGCCCTTTAGTTGGGGCATTTAGCGATGTTTACCGTGTTTGATTAAGCAAAAACACTGGCTTATTTGTAATTTTTTACGGCCCGGCCCTCAGTTGTTGCTCCGGAGAGCACAAGACTTTTATTGCCATTACTGTACTGGGGAAGATAAGCTCCCAGACCTCTGTGGCGGTTAATTGCACTGTTTGGCTCTTATCTGAAACCGAAGGTCAAGTGTAGCATTAGAGTACAGCCACCAACGAGAACGCCATTAAATGAAAACCTTCTGACTCAATTTTCTCTTTAACAACTGCAATAAATCAGAGGAGCGGCCACCACCGAGCAGAGCCGGCCGCTGACCAGTTGTTCCCAGCGCGGCCGCTTACTTCAGTATCGATTCTCTGTCTTACCGTTACACCGCCGTAACCATCTGACCCGCCGATGCTCGGCCCGCCCCACGGGTCAGAAAACCAGCAGAGGGCCCCTCAGAGGGAAGAGAGAAGATCCTGATTCAAAGCATCTGAGAAAGGGTCTCGTCTTAAGACATTTCAGACAGTCTTTTTTACTTTAGGGGCCCCTAAAGCCCCTGAGGCTTTTCAGCCATCGGCCAAATTTTATTTTTTTATCCCTTTTAAAAAGAGCACAGAGGGAAAAAAATTAGTTTCTGTGGATACCAAGTGAACCACTGCCTGGGGGCTGCTCACTAACACCAGTCACAGTCTGTCCTACAGGTCAAAATCACACATATATATACACATAGTGTATATATTATATAAGATATATATATAAAACATGTGTGTATAGATTTGGTCAAGGGACAGAATAATTCGATTCTTTGTTGTGGATGTACTGTGCAAATAGTATTTCCATTCCACGGCTCTACAGCTGCATATTTCTGCCTGCTCAGTCAGGCCCTCCTACTCATGCGGTATGATGATTATCCAGCTCCAGCTCTCAGTGTGTGTGTGTGTGTGTGTGTGTGTATCAGCTCCCACCTGTGCAGAGGTAATTATCCTCCCCGACAGTCTTTGTGAATAAGACCAGAACTCTGGAAGTGAGAGGCGACTTCACCACAAACACCTGTCTAATGTAAAGCACACTCACACTCCACAGAGCCACCATCACACACACACTCGGTAGCCGCGCGTTTCAAAGTTTTGCCTCATTTTGAGGGATTTATTGCATTCTATGCATCAATGTGATTTCATACAGAAAGTGATGTTTATTTTTACAATTTTTACAATACAATTTTTTAAGACTCCATGAATCTGTAAAGCAGCTATGAAAATGATTCAACAATAGAAAAATACACAAGTACAAGTACCACAATCAGCATATCCCCCACCAGTGAACATAGAAGTTTAACCATTCTTCAGCTTTATCGTCTACGGAGGGAAACACTTGATCTTGGAATCGCAGGAATCTCAAAAAGGCTTCTAAAGTCAACCGTGTGAGGGTTCAGAGGTAGACGAGGACGGGCCCTTTCAAAAACGTTTAAAGGCAAAAACCTGGAAGACATGTTCACCTACAACAGTGTGTGTTTATTGTGTAAGCAGTATTAGGTGTTTAGGCATAGAAGGGACAAAAACAAATATACATTATTTTCATATAAACAAATGGAAAAAAAAATCATGGTTCGGTAAACCAAATCTGAAACGTGCGTCATTTCACGCGTAAAAGCGACTTCCCCTTCTCTAAAGTTTTAGGAAAGGCTCCTGCTCCCGTGCAGCTGTGTCACCGCCTGACTCAGGAGAAGGTTCTGTTTCGACGTGTTTCTTTGGACAGAATATTTGAAAAGCCTCAGGTGATCTTTAGTGCTCTCGGTGGTAAAAAAGAAAAAAATGTGCGTCATGTTGAATTCTTGATAAAGGGTGTGTACATAAGGGCGTGTGTGGACATTCAGCCCTACAGGCCGACGGACAACAGAGAAAGTGGAAAAAAACCCACAGAAACAGAAATCATTTATCTGGATGAAGAGAAAATAAATTAACTCCACTGATAAAAATGAGCGGTTCTTTTTCTGTGAATGTGAGTAGCATAAGTCAGAGAAAGGGGATTTGGCCCCGGTTTCAAAACAGACATTCAAATCGTCCCCTGCACTTCCTGCCTAAACCCCGTCAGCTGTGTCAACCATGTAAAGCAGAAACTTGACACCGGTGTCGTTGCTTCTGCCTCTGGATCGTCTTTAACCCACTTCATCAGCACATCTATTATTTTCAAACTTCACGGATCAGTCGTGACAGACGGATAATTAAATAAAGTCCATTAAGTCAAATCTTTGAACTCTTTTTCACTTGATGATTGAGCTATTTAAACACCCCACCCCCCCATTGCTGGTACACAACAGCGTTATTCCATTTTGTCGTTTCAGTGTGTGTCCGGGGAAAAAAGAAACAAAATCTATCCCGAAGGGATTAAATCGAGCCGCGTCTTGTGGTTGGTTTGTGTTGGGTTTCCGGCCGCTCCTCACTCCCTGGCGGCCTCGGCGTCTGCCTCGAAGGCCCGGTTGTCATAGAGATGCTGATGGCGCGCGGGCTCCCGGCCCTCGGGCTCGTTGAGCGGGACCTCGTAGATGGGCTCCCCCCCGGTCACCGTCACCACGGTGACATCTGGTGGCGACTCTGGTCGCGACTCCGGCGGTGGCTGGACGTTCTCTTTGGGCTCCTCCTCCACCCCCAGGGCTTTGAGGATGTCGCACTTGCACATGGGGCAGGTCCTGCGGTCCAGCAGCCAGGGCTCGATGCAGGCCTTGTGGAAGATGTGCTCGCAGGTCAGCACGGTCACCACGTCGCCCGCCTTGTAGGACTCGATGCACACGGCGCACAGCTGGCTGTCCCCCGCGGTCTCCTCGTCGCCCCTCTTCAGCGTGCGCACCCGCAGGCGCTTGATGGCCTTCTTGGCCTCGGACTTGAGCCTCTTCTCGGTGATCCTGTGCCGGCTCAGGCCGTAGAGGCGGTTGGCGGAGATGAAGACGAAGTAGGCGATGGAGGCCGCCGTGACGATGAAGAAGGCTATGGAGAGGAAGTACAGCCAGTAGGTGTCCATCCAGGGCCCGTGGGGGCTGCCCACGTCGATCAGCAGCCGCACGGCCGTCCCGTTCTTGATCAGGCCGGCCATCTGCCGGCCCTGGATGTTGCCGATCATGATGGCCACGATCCCGGGGGCGTCCCCGTGGGCCATGTGGCTGGTGCTGTTGCCGCTGCCGTCCACGTTGTAGACCACCACGGCGGCCGCCCCCAGCCGCTTGGCGGCGTTGATCTTCTCGCTGAAGGTGCAGTTGCCCCGCTTGACCAGCGCGATCCAGGGCGGGGAGCTGGAGTTGCGGCCGTAGACGGGGTCCGGGCCGCAGCCCTTGCCGTCCCCCGTCGGGAGCGCCACCAGGCCGGAGGCTTTGTCCAGGGCGGAGTTGCGGCCGTACACCCCGCACTCGCAGTACTTGTCCACCGTCTCGTTGTTGCCGGTGGAGTAGCTCATTTCCACCATGGCGGTCCAGAACACGAAGGCTCCCGAGCCCCGGGCGAGCCCGAACAAACACAGCCAGAGCAAAACGCAGTCCTGGGTCTTCTCACCCATGGCTGTGCTGTTTCTTTACAACAACCAAAAAAAAAAGGAGAGGAAAAAAACAAAAAAAACAGGAAGCTCTTTGTTAGCCTCCTTAGCTTCTTTTTAAACAACCTCTGTTAATCCAAGTTAAAAACCCTCCGGTCTGGTCCGAGTCACAGCGATCTGAGCACAGCTACGGTTTCACCCAACCTGCCGTCTCCGGTAATATGATCCTCTGGTAACATTACACGAGCTATGCGTCAGCCTCTCACCTCTCGTTATCTTCCTGAACCTTGAACGCTGCGCGATCCGCACGGGGGGGGGAAAAGGGTGCTGCTATTCAACAAGTTGAAGTACACAACACGCACAAGAGCCCTGCCGTTCCGGGAGAGCCAAAGAGCAGTGTTCTCCAAGGAAGGGGAAAAAAACAAAAAAAAACAGATAAGCAGCTGACAAGGGAGAGTTTCCATAGATCAGCGACATAAAGGCGATACGGGGCGGCTCATAAAACCTCCTGACTGGCTTGTGTAACGATGAGCAAAGCAACTCGTCCAGTTTGTCTGGCTCGGCTTGTTTCCTTCCTCATTCTCCGTGACTCTCGCAAGTGTTGCTTAAAAAAAACCAGAAGGACGAGTGTATCCACTCTGTGGACTAAAGATCAATAAGGTCAGCTCGTGCAAGTTTATTTTCTTTTAACCAGAGATCCTCACAGAGACACACTAATACCCTGTAAAATAGCACAAACTACATACACGACCTATAGACTTTTGTTTGTTTAGAGGCACAACAGGCGGGCGATAGCCGAGATGGCACGGGGCACTGTGGAGTTTCCATTGTATCTCCTTACATGCAAGTGAAAGCACAAACACAGCCGGGGACCGAGAGGTTTCCAATGACAAATGGGGCGGAGAGGGGTTTGTTGCCAGGCTGCTGTTGCCCTCCGGCTCACCAACACTTGCGCGCACTTTAAAAAAAAAAACGGCACAAAAATCACTGGAAAAATTGCCTTCGGAATTTGTTTCCGAAGGTGCAAAGAGAGTGCTGTCAAATGAAAAGAATCGGACATCTGTTCTTTGCACAGCTGCAGCTCACGCTCCCCGATAACAGGAACAATGCTGCCGCTCCGAGCCCGCATTCCAGAAATAATGATCAGGGCAGGGAGGGAGGCGGAATGGGAAATGGCCGGGTGGCTCATCATCAAGACACCTTTTTTTCTCTCCATTAACCTCATCAGACATCACAGTCTGAATACGTCCACTGTCAAGTTCTTTCTTTAACTTGTGCAGCTTCCCCCCTTGAGAAGGGATGGATGAATTGATGCAGACTCTAATCAGCAGGGTTTTACTCAAAGGACCAAGCAGTTCTCTTCATTCCATTCTCCATTTATTGAATGTGTATTAGAACATGTTGACCTTTGGTCCAGAAGCAGGTAAAAACCTTTAAACAAACCCAAAAGAAGAAAAATAAATAATTACTTATCTGTATATAAGTTTACATAAATTAATTTCCCTCAAATTATATAACACCTTCACTCAAATTATATAAGCAAACCACTGTGAATCAAACCCATAAAGTAAATCAAAGTTAAATGAACAAGTAATTAAGTTCCTTAACCTTAAAGTACATTTCAAATTCATATTTACAATTGCATATTATTTATAATCATTTCAGTTCAGACCGCAGCTCTATAAGAGGGTAAAACGTAGTAATGATACATTTCTACGCTGTAAATGTGTTTTGTTTTCCTTTCCCCGGATCTGAACCGGGTCTGTATTTTGGCCCAAATGCAGGTCACAACACACTGTCCGGCCCAAAGAGAGCCAAAAGCACCCATGTGCCAAAACAGATAAATAAATAACTAAATAGCCAGCCCCGGTAACCACAGCAACCGGGACAAAGCCGAGTGGCTGACACTGAGCCCCGTTAGTCCAGTTTAGCCGGCTGCCATCAAATCCACCGCCAGAACCCCAACCGACACGAAAGTCTACGGGATGAAATATCTACGGTTAAAACCAGCCACCCAACGCACGAATGAGACATATGAGGGATTTAGGACTGAAAAATAAATCTCAGCTCAAACACGGAGGCCTTTTTCTGCTGAATGATGGCATGATAACAGAGGTATTTCATCATCAAAGAATTCCACTGGATTTATTTGAACATTAAGTTAGGCCCAAAAAACTAAAAAATCATGAAAGGATCTTTTTCAAGTCTTATTTTGAGTCAAACCCTTCACACCCTGCCCTGGTGAGACTAAACCAATAGCTGTGAGCGGCCAACGCCACAAAGGGGCGCCATCCTGCCGCGTTTGTGTTGTGGTTGTGTTGCGGTTGTGTTGCGTTGTCTGAACCCCACCGACACCCATCCCAGCAGGAGGGGCAGGTGTCGCCTTAAAGGAAAAAGAAGTCCCGTAAATCCGGGAACAATAATATCACAGCATCCGGGATGTTTTTATTCAGCAGGTCTGTTTTTGGAGCACAGGATGGCCTCCAAAAACACAAAAAGTAACTCACCGACCCCCACTCAGAGACCCCCTTTATTCTGTACGAATATTTCCATGTTTAAATCCTAGAAAAGTCTGATACAGGGATTTGCTGATTATTATTATTATTTTATTATAATTATTGTTATTATCATTATTATTATTGTTGTTATTACTATAACTATTGTTGTTATCATCATTATTATTTTTATTATTATAATTATTAATATATTATTATTATTATTATTATTATTATCATTATTATTATCATTATTTTACTAGCATTATTGTTATTATCATTATCATTATTGTTGTTATTACTATAATTATTGTTGTTATCATCATCATTATTATTATTATCATTATTATTATTATTATTATTATTATTATTATTATTATTATTATTATTATTATTATTATCATTATTATTTTACGAGCATTATTGTTATTATCATTATTTTACTAGCATTATTGTTATTATCATTATCATTATTGTTGTTATTACTATAATTATTGTTGTTATCATTATTATTATTATTATTATTATTATTATTATTACTATTATTATTATTATTATTATTATTAGGCTCGCTTACTTCTTTTTATGTATCCCAGCAACACATTATGAAGCTGAACGTGTTAATGCTGCATTTCTACTTGAGTAAATCTGCGTAATTCTCTTACCACTGGAGAGAAAACACATTTCCCCTTTTTATTGTGTGGTTAAAGCACGATTATGATGCATTACACCCCCGATGAGCCTCAGGCTAATAAACTGGAGTCCTTTTCCAGTCAGCTGGAATGACTTGCAACTCGTGATCCCCCCCCCCCCTCCAGTCTTAGTAACTCCAGACCTTAAAAGATGCTTCCCCCCCACCCTAATAATCTCTTAGAGGCTGGTAGCTTAGTATAGAGTTAGATTCAGCCCTTATAAGCTGTTTGCAGCCCACTTTTCTAGCTCTGCAAGCTAAATAGACTAAACAGACTCATGAGTCCTTAGAAAACTCCTTTATTTTCTATTTGTTTTGTAAATCACTTTCAGGTAATCATGGCCAAAGCTGCAGCTCTGAAGAAAAAGAGGAGGAAGGATTTTATACCTTATTTTCTGGGGTTTGTCATTTTTTTGTATGCAACAGTTCACCTGGTTTCATGGACAGCTAAAAGCTCTCAGGAGACGGGGCCTGTGAGGGTGCGCAGGGCCCTGGGTAAGCCATGTGAACGTTACTACTCTTTATGTTAATGCACAGGTGCTGGGACATTTGGATTTAAAAGTAAAAATGTCAATTTCTTATTTGTGTTTAGCCATGTATACAAAGGGTGGCTGAAGCTGGCTTTTTTTTTTATTATTTTCTAATTAGCTGCAATGGAAGTTTCTGACTGTCCTAAACTATCAAAGCACCTTTTAAAGTACAAGTTTTAGTCCAAATCAAGTGTCAATTAACCTTTTGTCTATTCCAATCATCAAAGACTTAATGATTCCATTATGACTTCACTGTTTGATGTTGGCAAAGTCAAAGAAAATGTGTCATTTCAAATTAAAATAGAGGAAAAATGTGAACTGTGACGCTTTGGTTTGCTTTTGTTGTAAGATCACAAGAGATTTATGATCGGGATAGAGACCAACAAAGTTTTCTTAAAGGGACCAAAACTATTTTAACTGTGAAATAAGTCAAGGGGGCAGATAGCCATCTAAATCGTTTTTTTTTTTTTTACATTTTATAGGTTTGTCTTTTTCAACCATCTGAAATGTGATAGCAACTACAAAATGTAACCAAACTTTCATCCAGGTTATGCTTTTAATCATTTCTCCATTTGTCGACCAAAAAAGAATAGACACAATTGATCATTTAAGTGGTAAATATATATAATAGAGGTTTGTTTGAGTTTCATTGGTTTGTATCCAAACAGTTCAGACAGTATATTCTAATCTGGATAAGTAATATGCAGTTGTTTTAGGACCATTTTCCCTAATTACCAAGTGCTTCAGCTATATTATTTTTAACCTGCTGATTTTTAGAGGAAACCCTGCATTTAAAAAGCTCTTTGATCATCAAACCTTATAAATCTGACCGCTCGTTTCCTTTAAACACTCCCTGAGGGGAAAATATTTCACGGTGTTTGTGGGCTGTCCCTGGTTTTGTGGTATGTCACACTGACTGCTTTGAGATTAGTGTGTAACCATTAGTGTGTGGCCTAATTTAAAGCTTCAGGTTGAGCTTTCTGTCCTTTTTTTTTTGCAGTTAAACAAACCAGTAAGTGTCCACATTGACGCATCACCTCAGTAGATTGACATGGATGCTTTTTCATGTAATGATTTAGTCCCCAATTTCCATTTATGAGTATTTTTCCATTTCAGTTTGTACATTCTGGTCTTTGTATTCAAATATGTTAGTCTAATTTTGGTATTTTACCTCTAGTGAACTGTCAAAGGGAACAATAAAACCAACCCAAATCTGAACATTTCACACGAAATCTCAGTTTTTTTTATATATACATTCATTACATTTTATTATTAATAAGTAAAAATAAGTAGAAAATAACTCTGTGTTAACTAACCCCAGCTACTAACCAACCAACCGATCAACCCCTAAGCACTTGTGGCTCATTACTGTGTTTGCTCTCCTTCAACTTGGCATGAAATATTGTGTAAATGTCACTGAGAGCACAAACCATCTCGGCTGTTCCCTCAAGCTACCCGTCAGCTGTTTGGGCCGGCAGATTTTTATCAGCGATGCTCAACTAAACAGTGTGTGTGTGTGTGTGTGTGTGTGTGTGTGTGTGTGTGTTTCCTGCTGCTTTCAGAGAATGAAACGGAGTGCATCTCGACACAAGCCTCAGAGTTTCCCGAAGGCTTCTTCACCGTCCAGGAGAGGAAGGACGGGGGGCTGGTCATCTATTTTATGCTCATTTTTTACATGTTTTTGGCCGTTTCAATCATCTGCGACGATTACTTTCTGCCATCCCTCGAAGTGATAAGTGAACGTAAGTTGCATGAAATACCCACAGTGTGCACCATCTCTACCTGAGTCGGGTCATGCCATACCTTCATAACTTGTTATACTCTCCGGTTAAAAAACAAAAATTATACAGACTGAATACAATCTGGACATATGTTTAAACATGTGGATTTTATGTATTTAAACTTCCCTTCCATCTGGATCCACATTGAATTCATCCATGTGGACACAACTCAACTTTTAATGTGTAAATACACCAAATGATGATGTGCATACTCGTGGTATCTTATGGGTTGCTTTACAACGTGAATTTGAATAGCAAACATCTGTATATTTTGTCTCTTAATCTTAAAATACTTGCAACTTATCAATAATATCATTACATCATGAGACTTTTTGCTCTGCTCACCCACTGGGAAAAGCCCCTCTTCATCACACTTAGACGATAACCAGCGACTATACCTGCCTGATTGATAATTTATTAAAAGCATTAACATATAGCTAATTATTTTTCAACCATCTGCTGAAGAAGTGACTTCTGTTATTGGTTTAAAGTCACAAAGGCTGGATTTACATCAGGCCTAACCTCGCTGTACTTATTACCGCTGTATGGTTTAACCAGCCTTTGTTTCATGGGGTGTTGTTTTTCTTTTTTTTCGTTTTCGACTCCCTCAGGTCTCGGACTTTCTCAGGATGTGGCAGGAGCAACCTTCATGGCAGCTGGGAGTTCTGCACCCGAGCTGGTCACCGCCTTTCTGGGTAACTTTGCAAAAGGAACGATTATAAAAAATAATGATTGTGACACCCACTCCCCTCTGGTTCACTAAACCGAGCCTTAATCACCATGTGCGATCCTAAAAAGGAAGGCCGTTTTCATTCCCAGTAGCAGTTGCTCAGTAAATCTCCGTTGCCTTTTCTTTGTCAGTTGCTTCCTCGTTGCTTGTGCTTTTTGCTTTTGATGTGAGCCGGCTTTCATTTCCTTCTCGTCCTAGGTGTTTTCGTTACTAAGGGGGACATCGGGGTCAGCACCATTGTAGGTTCAGCTGTCTACAACCTGCTGGGAATCTGTGCTGCCTGTGGACTCCTGGCCTCCATGGTGAATCTCAAAAACACACTCATATCCCAGCCAAGATGACCTATTTCCTGACAGTAAACTGTAAACAACTCGTTTTTGCTTCTTTTAACAGGTGGGGCGCCTCACCTGCTGGCCTCTGTTCAGGGACTGCCTGGCATACGGAATCAGCGTCTCCGCTGTTATTGGCATAATCACTGATAACAAGGTGTACTGGTAAGGGTACGAGTGTGTGTGTGTGTGTGTTTGTTTGGGCACGGTGACTCAGGACTATACGTTCAGACCTTACAAAAACCAGCATAAAAAACCGGTCGTCGTAAAAGCCCACGTCAAATATAAGCGTTTATTGCGTCTTGTGACACTGAGAGTATGAAAATAGATCACGAATCAACTGCGCCGTCCACTTCTGTGACTCACTTAACATTTATGATGTTGACAAAGTACAATTGTATGGCCCGAGCTGTATTTGTTCTGTCATTGAAGTTATCTAAACCAACCTAAATCACAAGTAGAGGGAAAAAAAGAAAGAAAAACAATGCTGGGCAAACAGAATTGACTCATGTGAAGTGGTTGCAATGACACCAGAGGTAAATCCAGTCGCTGAACCCGCTTAAATAATTTTAGTTTGAGGCTCAGAAGGGGGCGGCACGGTGATGTGGTGTGGTGGTTAGCACTGTCGCCTCCCAGCAAGAGGGTTCTGGGTTTTTGAATCCCGGGGGAACCAGGACCTTTCTGGGTGGAGTTTGCATGTTCTCCCTGTGTCTGCGTGGGTTCTCTCCGGGTTCTCCGGCTTCCTCCCACAGTCCAAAAACCTGCATGTTAGGCTGATTGGAGATTGGGGAAATTGCCCTTAGGAGTGAATGTGAGTGTGAGTGGTTGTTTGGTCCTTGTGTGTCTCTGTGCGTCCCTGTGATGGACTGGGGGACTGTCCAGGGTCAGTGGTGGGAAGTAACGAAGTACAAGTACTTTGTTACTGTACTTAAGTACAATTTCCGTGTATCTGTACTTTACTTAAGTAGAATTAATAATGGATACTTTCTACTTTTACTCCACTACATTTAACAGTAAGTATCTGTACTTTCTACTTCACTACATTTCTATACAGCGTTTCGTTACTAGTTACATCCAAGACGCATTTCGGTTTCTTGATTTGTTCGTTAGTTTGAAAGTATCCAATGGCGAGAGCAGAATCAGTCCGCTGAACCAATCCAAAGCGGGAAATAACCATTAGGCCCTCCCCTCAAGAAGAGCAGCACAGTACGCAGGACTGATTTATTAAAACTAAATACGATAGGTACACTTAATAACATTATATAACCCGTTAGGTATTATGGTCGGCAAGTTACTTTTAATACTTAAGTAGTTTTAAAAGCTTGTACTTTCTTACTTTTACTTAAGTAAAATAATAATGTGGTACTTTGACTTTTACTTGAGTCAATTTTTGTCTGTGTATTTGTACTTTTACTTAAGTACATTGTATGAGTACTTTCTCCACCACTGTCCAGGGTGTACCCTGCCTCTCGCCCGTTGACCACTGGGATAGGCTCCAGTTCCCCCCCCCCGCGACCCCATGAGGGAATAAGCGGTATTGATAATGGATTAATGGATGGATGGATGGATGGATGGATGGATGGCTCAGAAGGTTGGATGTGTTATGTCCCCGGCAGGTACGAGGCGGCCTGCCTGCTGCTGGTCTACGGCGTGTACGTGGTGGTCCTGTGCTTCGACCTGCGCATCAGCGAGTTCGTCCTGAGGAAGCTGAGCCCCTGCTGCACGTGCCTGGCGTCCGGCGCCGGCGAGAAGCTGGAGACGCAGCCCCTGATTGGCTGGCACGACGACACCGGCCTGCGGGTCCGCGTCCGCTCCAGGACGGACAGCGGCATCTTCCAGGACGACTCCGGGTACTCCCACCTCTCCCTCAGCCTGCACGGCCTCAACGAGATCCCAGAAGGTGAAGCCTAGTGGCTGTTTTACGGGACCTTTTTGTTTTTTTTTCAGTTAAACAAACCAGTGAGTGTCCACACTGAGACGCATCACAGTAGATCGACATGGATGCTTTTTTCATTTAATATTTTAGTCCTCAATTTACATTTATTACATTTATTTCAGTTTATATATTCTGGTGTTTGTATTCAAATGTCTTATTCTAATTTTGATATTTGTGGCTACCAAAATCTGAACATTTCACATAAAATCTACTTTTTTTTTATATACATTCATTATATTTTATTAGTTTCAGAATAACTAAAAAGTAATTTGGTTGTCGTCTGCCATCACCCCCCCCCCCCAGAGCACAAAAGTGTGTTTTCGGTCCCGGAGAGCGACCTGAAGAGGATCCTCTGGGTCCTGTCTCTGCCGGTCATCACTCTGCTTTTCATGACCATCCCCGACTGCAGGAGAAGGTTCTGGAAGTCGTGGTTCATGATAACCTTCCTCATGTCCGCCGTCTGGATCTCAGCCTTCACCTACGTGCTGGTCTGGATGGTCACCGTGGTCGGTAAGGCCCTAAAATGCAATAAAAACCCCATCAAATGCAATAGGCAGCGATGGAATGAAACAGTTATCTGCTTCTTTATGATTTAAAGATCTAAAACGGTTCCATTTGGGCCCCAAAATGAAGAACCTGCGAATAATCTAAATTAGTTATTCGTAAATTCCTGTTGGGAACTTGCAAAAATCTGTTTTTATTTCTTTTCTTCTTTTTTTTTGGGCCTTTTTACTTTAGAGGCAGGTGTAAACCAGCCCTTTTTCCTCATGAAGTCGCAGAGGATCACAAGTGTTTGAAACTTGTGAGAAAAAAAAAAAACGTCTAAATTGCAGAGTACAGTCACATGTTAGTCTGCTGGCTAATTCCTGAGATGCCATTGTCCCGGGGAAACGGGGGCTGTTTGGAGTTACAGTGGGCCGTGTTCCTGGCCCGCTACAGCGGGATTACAGCAGCTTCCCCCCCTGAGGAAACACAGTCATGTGAGGGCCGGCTTTACATTCACAAACCCGGCGAGGGTCGGTTCTGTCTGCAACGGAGACGTAAAACTACAAAGCTGACCTAAGAGCACGCTGAAAGGACAAAGTTATCATGTGACGGTCGTAGGTTCGGTGGAGCACAATGAGATTATTATCCCCTTTGTGGTCAGATGAGCACACATGGAAGACCGGATCAATCAAAAATAAGATCTAGCACGGAAAAAAAAAAACAATATGTGGAACTTATTTGAATGAATTGGCTGTTAACTGGGTTAGAAGACTTTGCAAGTGCACAAAGATCGGATCTATATTTTTAAAGTTTGTTCATTTGTACATTCGGATCTATATTTTTAAAGATTGTATTTTTCAGTTTTATCATTTCTTTCTCCTATATTTTAATTCTACATTTTATTTCTTGCTTCTCATAGAAGTGTTGTGTTGTGCACCTAACACCAAGGCAAATTCCTTGTAAGTCTAAAAACCTACTTGGCAATAAACCTTATTCTTTTTTTTATTCTGATTCTGATTCTGAAGAAGACTGACACAAGGAAGTTTTTACGCTCTATACACAAAGATGTTGGAGGATCTGTGGGTAGATTCTGGATTTTCATATGGAGCAAGCAGATATACAGTTTTAAAAGGAGATTTAAATGGTTGTGAAAGACAAAAATTATCATTCAAAGCATTTTTTTCCCCCTATTAATCTGTTCTTGGGTTTGTTTGGTGACACAGGTGAGACTCTGGGCATACCTGATACAGTGATGGGGCTCACCTTACTGGCTGCTGGGACCAGTATACCCGACACCGTGGCCAGTGTGATGGTGGCCCGAGAGGGTGAGACACACTCATTTTAACCAGTAACAATGTTTTAGAGCCATTGAAGAAGACCAGGAAGAAAAGCAAGAAAAAAAAAAGATACAAGAGTCTTATTTTAGATTTATTGCCCAAGTAAAGTGCAATGGCTGCACAATATAACCAAATTATCAGTGCACACACACCTCTGGTTTAGCACATTCAGCTGCCAGTGGCTGATTAAGGTAAACGGATTAATAAAGTGGAGCTAAAAAAAGACTGCAGTCCAGTTGCCAACGAATTAGTAATGTTAACTCATGTGCTAAAACATTTGAGAGGCCACTTTATTCATTTCCTGTGAATACTATTGACCCATATTGACACATTAGTGGCAGGAAAGTAACTGGAATGCGTAAAAAAAGGGGCAAACCAGGGCTGATGGTGGGCACAGAGATATGTGTGTGACCGTGTTTTGTGTTTGTCAGGGAAAGCCGACATGGCCATGTCCAACATTGTGGGCTCCAACGTCTTCGACATGCTGTGCCTGGGCCTGCCCTGGTTCATCAAGACCGCCTTTGTGGACACCAACAACCCCGTGGAGGTCAACAGCACCGGCCTGCTCTTCATCTCCTCCACGCTCCTCCTCTCAATCGTCTTCCTCTTCGTGTCGGTGCACGTCAACGGGTGGAAGCTGGACTGGAAGTTGGGGCTCGTCTGTCTCTTTTGCTACATCCTCTTCGCCACGTTGTCCATCCTGTATGAGCTGGGGATCATTGGGAATAATCCCATAAGGTTTTGCAGTGACTGAGAGTCGACCTCAGGACTGAAGCCAAACGTTTTAAGACTCACAACTCAATCACGCAAAAAATGTTGAGCCGTTAAATCCCTACAAAGGGTCGAGCGAGAGTGACCCCACTTTGTAAAAAATACTACGCCATTAAGGACACACGCTGGTCACGTCACCGGGGGATGAAGACCACAGATTCTACCAAAGGTGGACAAGTGCCTGGGATCCAGCTTAAACTGATTTAAGCTAAGGCCTTTTCTCACGTTCTTCCCAGTTTTAAACGTCTGTGAATTTAAAAAAACAAAACTTGCCTTCTTATCAGTCCAGTGCCGGGAAATAAACATGTCGACTGAACTTATTTGGCCCTCACAGTTTTAATTGGGTGTGTAAGAGTGGGGGGAAAAAAAAGGCACAGCTAGATAAACTTTTATGAGCGCTCAGGAAAGGTGGAGAAAAACAAAAAAAACTTTCCACTCCTCTTGTTACTGATGTGTTTCCGTCCTGTTTACAGCTACTTCTGCTAAGTTTGCTCGGACTTCAGACGCTTAATGGCCCCCCGTTTCATCACCAACGGGAATTCTATGCCCTCGTTAACATCCTCAGGCCCAAGGAAAAGGCAACACACGCCTCCCTGTCACAATATTGTGGAATTGCCACCTTCAAAGAGGTCAATATAGAGGTGGATTGGGAAATGAGGCCAAAAATAGCCCCCCTCCTTAGGTCAAACTTACACAATGAACAACGGCGTTGAAACTTTGATCTCAGAAAACTTTACAGCCGGGGTTTAAAAATTAAAAAGTTTATTTGTTCAAATAAACTGCCACAAATTATAAAGGGTTTACAAAACAATAAAATAGCTATGCAGTATATATAAACCAAAAAAAAGAGAGAAAAAAAAAAGCAAACGGTGGAGACATGGAGATATGAATTAAATGTGTTTTTAAAACAAAACAAAAGATCATTGGCAAAGGGGCTGAATGGGTGAGTGTTGCTTTAACTTCTACAAAAGCTCTAGGCATTTCGATCTATGCGGACGTCCACCTCTCGCCCGTTGATCTTGGTTCCGTTCATCATCCTGCAGGCCTTGTCGGCGCTCTCTGGAGAATCAAATCTCACTGTTCCACATCCCTTCGACTTCCCGTTCTCCATCTTGATTTCTGCAAACATGACCTGGCCTGCAGGAGAGGACACCAGATGAATTCTGAAACTAAGAGCTTTCACAAAGCTCTGACCAACACTGGCTGTCTCACTAATGTCGTTTAAACTGACCATTAAAACAAAACAGAAATGGGAAAAAACATACCACAATGGCTGAACTTCTCTTTGAGCTTTTGCCACGTCAGGTCGTAGGACAGCTGCGGAACAGAAACGTCTGGATTAGTGCACGTGACGGCTTAAAAAGAGCCTGAAGCCACGACCGGCAATCACTCACATTTCGCACAAATATCTGACAGCCTGCTTTGGACCCGGAGCCTCGTTCGGACATGCCTCCGCCCAGGTGTGCCGATCCTCCCCCTCCGTAGCCGCCAAAGCCACGGTTCATGTCCATTCCGGACATGCCCACGCGGTCAAAACCGGAGCCCATCCGGTCCATCGACATGTTGCCCATGGCGCCTGGAAGCACAGACGGAGTTACAGCCGCCCTGCAAACCCTCCCCATCAAAAGTAGGAAGGAGATTTGTGGCCCCACAAGTTTTCGCATCTTTTCTTTCAGACAGACAAAATAAAACGTCTTATGCTTCTACAACAGGTTTGTACACAGGACATTTGAGTGAAATCATCCTCCTGAGGTTTGTTTTTTAAGACGTTCTTTTCCCCCTCTGTTCACCCCTAACTATCTGTATGTACTGAAATAAAGCTGACCAAATGAGGATCTTCTGCCCTATACCCCTGATGTGCTTCCTCAGGGGTACAGGTCAGACCCCCCACTGTTGGTAAGCAGCGTGTGAATGGGATGGACCAGTCTGTTGCACCAGTAATTCATTCAAGACTTCGTCGCCTCATTGGCTTCTTTAGAACTTTCCTTATCATGTTAGCGGTCATTAATCTAGCTTTAACTTTATGTTAGAACAAATTAAACTCTCCTGCTGTCCTTTAACAAGGATTTAATTAAGATAGTTTTGGATTCGTGCATTGTGCGTCTACGATCCGACAGTCAGCAGAAAGAGCAATGCATCAGGAGGGAGACACACATGAATGATTACATCCGGCTCAGAAAGAAGAGAGAGAACGCCTCTCTTTCCATCAGCTTTACGTCGGCCTGTCATGACACCAACATCGCGACCACTTTCACGATCGACCCTCTTGATCATTAACGGCTACTTCCTGCTTTTACGCCAGCACAAAGTATGAAAAATGCTGAAAAGTGTCGACAGAAAATACTTTGTTTTGACATCTCAAAGTCCGCTGATGCTGCTTGTGTATCAATATTAGCAGTCATTTGTAATTTGGCATTTCATACAGGATCGTGGCCATTTTGTTTTTTCAAAGCTGTGAATTGAATTTTTCCTTTACCTAATCCAGTTCCCATGTGAACCATGCCACCACTGCCCATGCTTCCCCCAAAACCTCCACCTGCAGGACAGAACACAAAGTCAATAGCAGCATGTGACCATTTCACACAAATCCAATTGAGGCTTTTTAAGAAGCAAAGACAAAAGTATGTAATAGCTGCTACGTGTGAGGTTAAATATGAAAGGATGAAGGGTGTGGCCTACCCATCCCTCCAAAAGTATCTCCAAATCCTCGACTCATTGGCATGTCGCTGTGGCCAAAGTCCCGATCCATTCCACCCATTCCTGACCGGTACATGTCTACACAGAGATAAAGGGTTACATGGAGGCGGGGTTTCCCAAAAAACTGAAAATGTTCCTGACTTATAGCACTCTCTTGCCTCCCATTCGGCCGACCGGTGCCATGTCTCTGCCCCCAAAGCCGCCCATGCTGGCCATGCTGTCCATGCTGCCAAAGCCCCCGACGCCGCTCATTCCTGCCAGAAACAACGTCAAACTGTGTCAGAACTGTCGGATTAAGTAAAAAAGAAAAAAAAAAAAGAAGGAAAAACAACAGGTAGCACAGATCTTACCCCCAAGTCTGTTCATACCACCATAGCCTGAAACATCCATACCTGCAGAACAAAACCTCTGTAAGTCCAAATCAAAGTCCAAAATGCATTCACTTTTATCAACCCTATGAAATCCACTCAGTGATGCAGACCTGTGTGAATAATCTGGCTATAAACACATGAATGTTACCCGTGATCTGATGGTTCATGCATTGTCTGGGCCTACTTTTAGCATCATGCTATATTATACTGAACAACAAGCAGCTGCTGGCTGAAACAAGCTAAAAAAAATGTTCCTGGTGTTCTGGATCAGGATGTGGGTGTGTGTGTGTGTGTGTGTGTGTGTGTGTTTGTGTGTGTGGGCTGCTCCTGCTATAATGGAGAGGTGACTGACCTCCGGGTCCCAGAGAGCCCATCCCTCCACCTCCGCTCAGTCGGTTTGCGTTGATTGGCTGCCCTCCTGGCCCCAGACCCATTCCAATACCACCCAGACCACCTTTAAGAGAAAAGAAAAAAAAGAAATCCAGCAGCATAAATGTTATGAATATATATTTACCCTTTTATACACATAAATATTTCATTTCTAGAGCTCTTCCAACACTATAACATGAAACTGTGTCCTTTACATAACAGACTGAGTGGAAGTACTGTCCCTTATTTCCATTTGGATGCTCACAACAACGAGCTAAACACAGGGGAAAAGCTGATGTCACTGCGGCCGTTTTCAAACACAACACCGGAGATTTCTTTAAGGGGAAAGTGCACAATTTACTCTGATTGTTGTGTACACAGAGACGTCCCGGCAGGAGGACTTCTGCCGCTCTCCCGTCTGGAAACTTAGGTGAGTGGAAACTTCTATGTGCAGCATGCAGGAGGAAGTGTGCAATGCCGACATTCCACTGAGGGAAACCTCTTTTCTTTACTATACACCGAGCAGAGCTGGTGAGGCTCACTGTTGTGCATCCGTTTGCATCCACACCAGCAGAAACAGGTGAGCAGAAATGCTCCCTCACAATGGCAACAAATGGCCAAAAATATCCAGACTACAGTGTGTGTGTGCAAATGATTTGGGTTCCTGGTTTAGATACAACCGGATTCGTTTTCGGCAACATATTTGGGACTTTTGCTTCACTGATACTGCTTTGCCAGTAATTCAATAACGCTGTACTCACGTGGTAACTGGGGGGGTTTTTCTACTTGACGAAAATCATCAGGAGGAAGAGACTTTTCATCCTGTGAACACACACAGAAACAAACATTCATTTAGTTTGTTGCACATCCTTTACACCACTGAGCTTAAACAGTGACCCCAAAAAAAAGAAAAACATACCATTTTAACATGCATCTGTCTTTCAAAGAGCATCTGACCGTTAAACATGGCTGGGTGTTGAGTCAAGGAAGGGCAGACATTAAAATCACGTAGAGCTGCTCTATGTGCGCGCCTCTGTTTTAACTTTGAAAAGGATACAAATGGCCTGCACGGCTTCCAGCGGCTGGTCAAAAGTCACCGTTCCCATCCCGCGACTCTTGCCGTCCTTATCCTCTTTGACATCTGCCCGTTTCACCACTCCGGCCATTCCAAACACCTCTTTTAGCTTCTTCCAGCCCACCTTGAAATCCAGCTGCCGGACACAGAGCACAACATCTGTAAGTAACAACCGTAGCAGCGCGGGTTAAAGGGAGGGCTCGACGCTCAGCGCTCACATTAGCCACGAACACCGTGTTGCCCAGCCGGCCGGCCTGCAGGGCGTGGATGACTTCAGGTGGGATGTTTGGGTTGTTGGCGATGGAGGGCGGGAGGTTCATCCCCCCGGGCCCCATGTCCTGCCCACGGCCCCCCTGCTGGCCTCCGCCCATGCGCTGCAGGGCACGCCGTGCGTGTTCTCCGTCTGGGTCCTAAAACAAACCGAAAAAATACACAAATAATAAAAAATAATCCATTAGAATTTTTATGATAAATGTCCATTCAATGTAGTACGCTTTAAAAACCACTGGAAAGGAAATTAAACACCTCCGTTTTTGTATGAATGCAATTTAAAGACAAAAAATAAATGAAACCTCACTGAGTATTATTAAAACAAACCTGTTCACCTTAACATATTTGGTGTACAAATAACATCTTACACACACAGTCAGTTCTGAATCAAGAGCTCATATTTAGCCACGTTTTCAACTCACCTCCTTGATGTTGAGTGGCCTTCCATTCAGATCTTGTTTATTCATTGTTGACACCGCTTTTTTCACAAACTCCTCATCTTTAAACTCCACCACACTGTTGAATGAGGCAAACAAAAGAAACAGCACAAGTCCATGAAAGCAAGGCAAGAGAAAAAAAAATCTGATTTAAAAAAAAAGGTACAGAAGTTTCTTACCCACAACCCTAATCCACGGGGCATCACGGGAGTCCAGGTGGAAAACATGAGAGTGAACAAAATGCATTTAAAATCAAAACCAAACAAAACTTACATTAGAAATGTAATCTAGCAACATGCTTCTATGTTACAGAAGTCATGTTGGCCAACGTGTCCCACTGGATAGAGCCAGCAGGGTTTTGAATTTATTTTCATTAAGAAGAAAGTTGAATAGTTATCTTTATATTACATCTTAATACTAAATACATAAATAGTATTTAAAATCTGTAGTTAAAAAACAACAAAAACATTACTTGTGCAACGCAATTTACCTTTAAAATTTATAGCTTTGAACTGGATTGACCACTACCACGGTACAACAAAAGTGCAGGCTCAGCAGTAACAGAAATAATGGCATTCACATTTAAATCCATAAAATGCTCTTGTGCAATTTTACTCTAAAACATCAAGGCTGGTTTGCTCCATTGAAGATAAACTTTTTACATGTAAAAGAATTGTAGAAATAAATGTTTGAGACATGAGGGTCAATCAATCAGGTAGATCACACAACCCTGCATTTCCCTTTGGAAAATGGCCAAACAAACAAACTTTTAAACCAATTGAAATGACGACAACAAAAACATATGTACTCTTAGATGAGTTCATTGGGCTACTTTTCCAAAAGTCAACAGGACATCTCCCTTTCAAATGAGTATCAATCGTTATCTATCAGGCTCTAAACACGACCTACAATGTCTCCAGTTCAGTAGACCCAAAAGGATAGGAGCCTAGAAGAGCACATGATTATTGAGAGCCTGCTGAGGGCATTTAAAACCTCGTGCAGCAAGTTGGCCACGACACTTACCCTTGACTTTCCTTCTGCATCCTTAAAGAGCTCCACGTATGTAACCTCACCAACTACATGAGACATACAAAGGAAAAATACCAAAAGAACAAAATAATTTAAGTCACCAAGTCTTCAAGTCGCCCTTGGCCTTGGCAATGCCGCTACGGATGGAGATGTCCCATTAATGATCAACAGTCAGCCCAAACCAACATCCCACCAGACAACACCATGCCTTGTTGGGCAGTGACTGAGACACCCAAAGGGCCAAGGCCAGAGAGAAACACAGCTACATCAAACCTGGGAAATTCAGAAGACTTCAACATGATCAGTTTATCAACAAACACCATTCATGTCAGTTCAGGGTTTTGACACAATCCTTTGAAATCAAGGGGCTTCTTTAGACCCCCTTAATTCAGAGAGTGAAATATTGCAATATTTTAGTCGAGGTTCACCTTGCAGCAGGCGCAACAAAAACATTCAACAATCAATTCTACTACTAGTTTGAGGTTACATTTTGGAGCTGACAATGCCATAAAACGAGTGACAATGTAACCAAGTTCATCTTCCTGTTCTCACAGACATATCAGCCAAAACTGAATTGGTGTCCAACCAAAAAGATGAAGAAAAAAAAAAAAGATTAACAACACCATTAACCTAAAATCACAGACTGTTGTTTCCTTAGTATCTGCACTAAGTACATCCAAAGACTACAAAACTAAAAGCTAGGGCTAAAAGCAGGATGTTCCTTCTGATAAACAAAGACAAAAAGGGTAACAAAAAGAAACTGCTAATCAGATGGCAGAAGACAGAGAGAAGGCTGAGACACCATCCCCGATATTGGGGACATTACCTTTCTCACGCATTAGATCTTTAATCGCTTGCCACTTCATGTCATAGGGGATATTGCTAATGAACACGCGGTTCCTGTGAGAACTCTTCTTTTCTCCACCATGTTTGTCTTTGTAGGGATGATAGCGGTTTCCTCTTCTGTTGCCGGCCGACTTCTCTTTAAGATCATGGTTTTCTTTGGTGGACTTGTTTTCGTCGCTGTCCCTACAAAGCACACAAAAACAGGGCTCAAAGACCATCCACAAACAATACCAAAACTAAATAATACAGTATAGTGGGTATATCTAAAAAACGTCAATATAACTGTGTATTCTATCAATTTGCTTCTCACAAGAATTCCACTAACTCCTTGTGCATGAATGAATGAGTATACTAAAGAAAGACAGTTTAATTCTTTTAAAACAGCAACATTGACATATTTAATAATTTTCCCAATACGTTTAAAGATTTTTTTTCATACTGTCTGATTTAAGTTATGGCTAGAAGTTCATGTATTTACACACAGTTGTTTTTATTGTGTAGCATCGCGGAGCTATTAGCTGCTAACTTCAGGGTCGTTACCTGGTTCAATGAACCAAAAGCCACTGGGCTCAAATGGACAAAGATGCTTTCACTTCTTAAGACGTCAGAAATCAAGTGAAGGCTTGTTTTAAAATATTCCACCTTAACTCGAGCAAAATATTATTAAATTGTATATTTATCGTTCTCTGAATTCCATGTTTTAATGTTAGCATGAGACACAAAAACAATTAGCTTAGCTTAAACCATTGTACCCATTACACTTTGACCTCGTCCGTTACATTTTAAAACTTTCTGTCATACATTTGACGTAGTTGTTGTGTCCGCTACAAATCCAACATCCATTAAAAACGTACTTAACGGTTTGCTTTTGCAGAAGAGGAATATAAGAGATCAGGTTTCTTGGCTAACAATAGCTAGCATAGCAGGACTCCATTTTAGCTAAGCTAGCAGGAACACAGACCTCTCCGTAAACGGCACGTTATTGTTACCCACGTTTTCACGCCATTGGGCGTTTCTTGAGAGGTCTCGTCGGTTTCGGACTTCACGGACGCAGTAGATTCCTCTAATTGTGGCTCCTCATCAGGAGTTGTAACATCTGCCATGTTGAGCCGCTGCTGCCTCTCTTACACACCACGCAAGATGCCCCTACGCAGTTGAAAATGTGCAGAGAGGCTTTGTGCCTCCAACGCGAGATTTGGAGCTGTTGCTAGGCAGCCCGCTAGAGCACAATATCATAGAATGGCATGGACCAGAATATAGACTAGAATAGAGTAGAATTAGTTGTCTGTTTGATGAATATATTAGTTCCTAAATAGGAAACAGCTCTGAGAAATCCCATCCCGAGCAAAAAGCTTGAGGTCTGGGAGGACTACAGATACTCATGTGTTCATCTTTACAGCAGGTGAAACTTAAAATGCAACAGTGAGGCTGTCTTCAGGGGGGGAAAGAACAGGCTCCACTTTTGCTGCAAGCATAGGACCTTAAATGTTTGCAGCAATGTATCACTTTGTGGCAGAGAGGAAAAGCTGCTTTGAAGCCTGCAATGGAACAGGACAACATTCAGAAGCTTTTATAATGCAGATTCATTCCAATTTAAATTCATTTGTTTGAAATTGAACAGCCACTATATCAATAATGAATTGACCTACTGACAACAACATAACAGTGGACAAAAAAAAAAAAAGGGACTAAGAATTAATCCGCTCACAGGTCAACCGTTTAAGAATATCATGACTGTAATAATTCCAAATAACATTTCAGACAGGGGGGGATTTCTATATGCACAGAACAAGAGTGAAAACAAATCTGTAAGTTAAGTTTAATATCCAAATATTTACATACTATACAAAGCCAACTGTGTTTTCTTCTTGATGATAAATAAAAATATGACAGGGGCATCAAATTACACAAAACTCAGGCTGTAGCATTAAGAGAAAAACCTTTAAAACTCAGAACCGTGGGTTGGTCTTTCAGTTGCCACAGGCCCGGTGGGACGTTTTTAAAGGAGGGACACGGTGTAACACAGTGGTAAACATGTCTGCTGTAGCATTGGTAATTTCCCAGCATGTATTGTTAAAAAAACAATCAAATTTGAGAGTATAAACTTAGTACCTTTTCAGTCTGAATGCAGAGGCTTCCTCAGCTCTGCAGCACTAATAAAGAGAACAGAAGGTCACTCATACAGGGACGTAAGTTTTGTTTGACTTTGCATGAGGCTTTCTACAGGAAGGGCCTGCAGCCATTTACAAGGACACTGCAGTGTATAATGTATCCACCTTTCTTTTATCTTCTTTCGTTTGTTATCAAAGTTTGCTATTATACTTTATGAATTTATCCGCGTTACATTGTTGGATGATCATTTCTGCAGCAGTGATACCAGTAATGCTTTAAGTCTACATCATTCCAGGCAGTACCTCACACCATCAGATTAAATGCTCCATCTTATCGATTGTTACACAGCGCCAGGCCAATTCATCATCATCCTTGAAACTATTGACTGATGCACTTTTGCTCCATTGACGGAATAATTTCAATTTCTTTAAACACCCTTCTTTAACATTCAGATAATCTCGGCAAGTCTGAAACTACTCCATTAACAAAGAAAGACTGAATTCTTAAACCCACAAACGGTAATTCTAAAGAAAAAAACACTCACATTTTATAGATATGAGCCAAAATCATAAAAATTCAACCAATCAACAGAAGACGTATCAGGAACATATAAACTTGGAAATGTGTCAATTGTCTTTGCAGTATTCTGTATAATTATGCTTTTCATAAGGACCTTTATACATAAAGAACATGCCGTAAATGATGGCTTTAGAGCCAGCAGAAGGGGTACATACCGTAATATGGCTAAATTTGTAACTTTATGAGTACAAGGTAATTACCTTCAGTGTACAACAAAATTGCACAACCCCATGGATGAAAAGAATATCACTCCATGACAGACCTGAGGGACAGCTTTGACAACTTTCATTACAGTTCGGGATGCCATTGACCTACAATGGAGTAGGTAAGTTAACCTTTAACATGCAAAGTGGAACATGCATTGCCCCATAAAAAAATAAGATCAATAAAACAATAAAATACTTCCTGACTAAATGCTCTAACACAATTTGAAATGCTGCACAGTTTGTACCCGAACTACTGTAAATTGACCCTATAACATGCTAGAAATGCTAATAACTGTAACCTAACAGTTGTGGAGCGGTAGGTTAAAATGGTCTTTTGAGTGCTGAATGCTTTTATAGAAACTGTTTTTGTGTTGTTTTGTGTGTGTGTGTGTGTGTGTCTTTGTAGAAAGTAGAGCTACAATGTTGGATTTTCTTTCTTGAAGTAATTTGTTGCAAAAATACAATATTGGCTTAGTGAGACTATGCTGGATAAGCCTAAATTTGTCTTAAAACCTTCATGAATAAAATAAAAAATTGGAAAAATCAACCATTCCCTTCTCAGGAGACAGTGTAATCTTTTGGAGCTGTGGACCCGGGCAGAATTAATAAAAGCTCCACTTACGTTAATGGACCGACTTGATAAAGCATTCAGCTCTGTGCATCTCTGTGTATCTCTGCATCTGTCTTTGTACTTTCTTGTAAGACTATACCATCACACATGGGCCTAAAAAAGATATTTTAAAGGGAATACTGCTGTTGCGCAATTTGTTTTACTCCTGACCTGTTGTCTATCGCAGATAAAAGTGCAACAATCTGTATCCGTATGTTCTCTGGACACTGCATAATATTAGACTGATTATGGAACGAGTCCAATGTTTCAGCAGGTTCCCTCTTGGAGCTAAAAGAGTCCAATAACCGCACCTTGACACTAAAATAAAGGCCCATTGGCTTGCTCTGCCTATCAACAGATATGATAACGGCAATACACTGCCATGTGTCTAATATAAGTCATTGAACTCCTGATCCTTGTCAAAATATTGGACCTATAAAACATTATCTGTAGTTTGAAAATAACCTGTCATCGACATCAAAAGACTATAGGGTGGGCTTCCCATTAGGAAATGACATGTCATGATATCAGTGACGCAAACTGACTCAGGACACCGTTGTCGACACAATGTGACAAACACGACTGACAAAATTCAATTTGAAGGAACTGGCAGTGAAATGAGACGGTGCAGAATGGGCTTTTCAAATCGGCCCTGGCACTTGTTTCCATTTAAATACCGACACAGCGAGCCCAGAAACTACTGTTGACCCTAGAAAACAACCACTGAGAATCTATTCTTGGGGAATTGTCGAGCTGTGTGTATCTGAAAGATAAAACAACCTCATGGATCTCTGGACATCACACACTGGATGTGATCGTCTTCCTCATGCTTTACGCATAGATTTGAGCCGCTGTATTAATTTCGACTGCAAAATGACAAAACAGATGGCCAGACATCAGATGCTCTGCTCTTTTCCTCCTTATGCAACTTGATTCCTGTGAAAACTGTTTACATATCCCCTCACCGTCGTCTCACAGCCTGCATTTGTAAGCCCATAAGCGTGGGGAGGGGGCTAACTCGATTTTTCCCAACAAACTGCACCAATTACAGACACATTATCAAACATGGGCTCGCAGGGTAATGCCGTGGTGTACCAAAAATACCTTTGCGGCAGCATGTGTTGCAGCCAGGAGCAGAGAGAGGGGCAGTTCCTCTCCTGCCAGATAAACCCCGTTATGCCCGTTAGAACGGACTCAATTTGATGAGAGGCAAAAAGTTGGAGAGGGGAAAACAAGGAGAGGCAACACGGGAGAGGCCGATCGCTTGTTTGTGCTGCCGCATCCGTCCTGGTGCTGCTGAAGTGGGGACTGTTGAGAATGAGCGAGGCAGCAGAGCAGCTGAGGGAGACTAACAAGTGGTTGCCATGCAGCAGGAGCAGGAGCTCGTGCGCTTCTGGAGAGAGATAGAGAAACGGAATGATAATGAGCCGGGAGGCAGCGAGTAAAGCAGCACTAGGACAGGAGCTGGGTCTCCCAGAAGAGACACACAAAACACACTGATCCTGCCTCTCCCTGGCTCCTCTGTTTCTCCCTTTACCTCGTGAATTTCTCTTTTTTTTTTTTCGTTCTTGCTTAGATGGGCTTTTAGCTGAGCACACCCAGAATGCCAGCAAAGAACAGATTTGGGGAGATATGTTTGAGAGCCCCACGGAGGAGGAGTTCGTCGCAATGAATGGATGCAACAGGTCTGTAAGGATGGCACGATAACGATGGTGAGACGCCTGCTTTTTCTTCTTTAGACGTCCCCACTAGAGAATCTGTCAATGCAGTCTTTCCCCCTTCCACCCAGCCTCCCCTCCCTCCCTCTCTCTTGTCTCCCCTCGGCATACTTGTGCAGTGTCCTTCTCATCCCTTCGACTTCCTTTCCCCCCCCCGATCTCGTTTCCCTTTCCCTCTGTTCATTTTCCAGCCGCCGTCTACATGCATCTTCCCTCCCTCTCTCATCCAGTCCCCCCTCCTCACACCCGAGCCACCTGCTGCTGGTGTTCATGCGAGAGATTCGAGAGGAAAAGACTGACAGGGGCAGGCGTCCACTGGTGTGACCGAACCAATTTTGGGCGAGCATGTGTGGTCAGTCGCCGTCGCTCTCTTACCGGCTGATGGAATTACACCGTCTGGCAGGCATCTGCTCCCGTGCAACAGGTAGAGATCTCCGTCTCCTAAAAACAAACATGCGGAACATGGCATCTTCATGAGGGGTGATGCTTTCGTTTATAAGTTAGAAGCTTTGTTTACGTTTCTCAGCTGGCCATGCACTGCGACACACCGGAATTCTAAGCAGAATCAAAGGAATTTTGAGTATTGGCTATTTTTTTCCGGAAGTCTTTATCACTTTTTTAAAAAAAATTTCCTTAAGGGGCAGAGTGGGAAAGCTGTCCGAGCATCTGTTTCGTACCTCATTTCAAAAAGGCTATATTTAGACACCAAAAGCATTTGGTGCAGCTCCACATTTAAACATTTTTCTTATTCCTTTAAGTCCACATGCCGTCTGCGTTAACTGTGATTTAATAGGTACACAAAACACACACACACACACACAAGGACTAACCAGAAGCCATCGTGTAACCTCTGTCCAGGTAAGATGCAGGCTTCTAAATGCCTGACCCCGTCAGAGGAGAGATGAGGCGCCTGGATGCCGGCTTACCATGAGCAGCGTCCACTACAACCACTCCCTTGCTGCCATGAGCGGAAACGACATGATGGCGCACTCTCTGACTCTGGAGCAGAAGACGGCCTTTGCTTTCGTGGGGATGCTGCTGGTGTTCTTGGGGCTGCTGATAGTGAGGTGTTTCCGGATCCTGCTGGACCCCTACAGCAGCATGCCCT